CGGCGTCCCCTTTAAGACCGTTTTGGAATAATTAATGACGTCGCGCTGTAAACACGGCTGACGCTCAGCTGCGTGGCCGAAGCATCCTCCGACCAAGAGCCCGAGACCTCTGTGTTTATTTCACGACGGGACTACTGGGAGGCATTGAAACAGCTGGGGTTCACCTCGTCTCTCATATGCAGTCTCCAAAACCAAGACGACGGTGCTGCATCTGTCCTGCTAAGTGCCATGGCTAGAAAAACGGACATCCCCACCTCTTACTATGGTGAGTCGGGTTGTCTTTGTTGTAGGAGATTTTTTTTCTGCCTTTGTACCGTGTAACGTTATGACAGCAGGATATAACAATATCTTCTTTGGCCCGAGTCTTTATTATTAACCCTTCGCTGTGCGTTCAGGGACGGTAGCTAGCTTGCACTATCAGCTGCTAACTATTGTAGGGCTATTTAAAGATTGGCGTGAAATACGCAGTAACGGTGTGACAACATTTCAAACGGATGTTGGCTCAAATAAGTAGAAGGACGTGTTTTCGAGTTTGGTTGCAGGATACGCTTCGAAAAGAATCCGTGTGTCTGGCTTTGATTAACTGCAGTGCTGTGATCTTCTGCCTCGCTTTGTTTACCAGGTGTAAAAGTGCCCACGGTAGGAGAATAGTCCCATCTCCACTTTCTGCTCCACTTATTATGTCGCCTTTGTTGTCAACGCCGATGTGTTTATGCTCTATAACTGCTGTATAACATCATGACAACGGGACAGCTTTAGGGTTTTAGTGGGAGCTGCAGTTAGCCACCATTATCGATTAATCTGAACACAATTTTGTCGATTAATTGATCAATTTTTAGTTAGAAGGGAAAAAAAATGCCCGTCGTTTTTTTTTTCTGATGCTCCAGATGATGTCATCAAATTGCTTTGTTTTGTCCTACACCAATCCAAAGCCAAAAGATGATCATGTTTTATGATAAAAGACCAACTAAGTAGCTAATTAGAGGCAGGCTCGTTATAAAATCATTGTATCATAATACTTAATGATATTTTAGTTGGAACAGTCAGATGATAATTCCATCTAAAGCTTTTTATAAAGCTGACAATGCATTCGTGTGACAGTCACCTAATGCATTTGTCATTTGAAGTTAACTAGTCCCCTGCTTACTCTGTGTAATCCTTTCAATCTCGATTAATATTCCCTGCTGTGATTTACAGGGACTTAAGCAAGGTAGGTCACCAGTGTCCACTCCTGAGAGCTGTTTAGCCTATTTGACGTCCAACAACATTTGGGGTTTTAAATAAAATGTACAGGAATAATTGAGGTGTAGTGTTTTTTCATTGTTTCCTAATTTAGCATTCCAGATAATGTGTCTTACAGTAAAGGTTAACAGCGAATTGTCCTTCTTCTGTAACAAAGGATATTTCTTCTCTCCCACTTGCATGTTTTTGCCCCTGCAGGCATATAATGGAATATATAATCCATGTGCAGATCCACTGTCCATTAACCCGCTTGAGTAATCATGTTGTTCATCAAAACAATATAATCCTTTATCAACACCAGATGCTACACAGACAGTAGAGTATTTTTATGAAACAAAGAGTTCCCTAGCTAATACTATTTTTTCTCTCTATTGAATGATTGACCTTTTTTCCCCTCTCACAGATTTACTCCTTTTTTCATCTGGTTCTATTGGGCTACTGAAAGCAAAACTACGGTGTCATTGAAATCCAGACAAAGCTATCTGCCACAGTGATAGGCCAAATCTTCGGCCCTTTTATGTGAGAAATGTGAGAAAGAATCAAAGGTATACCAAAAGATATGTGTCAGTTATTCGGTTCAACCGCTGGGATGATGCAGAACTTAATTTGATAGATGATACGTCATTCTTATCGGTTTTCACGCAGCCTTCTGCATTATTATCAAGTACAAATGCATTTTATCATGAATCGTTGATCAAATTGTACACAGTCGCAATGCCCACTAAATAACTCAGAGCAGCACAGGCATTGTCAGGTCTGCTCCTGACAGCTTCTAATGGGGATAGCTGTTTTGTTTTTTCCTCCCTATATTCTGCCCCTGTTTGTCCCCCAGACCTCATGACTCCAGCACTCTGCCAGTCAAGACTACAGCCTGTCAGCAGTAGTTGATTCTCAGTGCTCTCCACAGACATACAGCTCACCACTGGGAATGTCAGACTCCAGTCAGGTCCTGTTCACAATTTTAAGCTGGTACTTTGCAGCGCATCATAAACCTGACATGTGTAAAATGCCACGAGTAACAGGCTAACTGAAGCAAACACGTGTACAACTTTGTATACATTATTAATGTACAGAATACGGTTAGCGTTTAGTGTACCTGCACTTATATTCTATTGCATTGATGGATTAGAAGGCAGCAATTAATTAGGGGATGTAATTTAGCCTTAATAGCATCTAACCACCTCGTTACTAGAGCTACTTTATGTTGTTGACTCCCTGGTGCTTTTATTCAAACGGCTAGCTTGGCAAAGGAGCAATGTAAAGGTTTTTGGGTTTTTTAAATTTAACACCAGAATACTGTACATCATGATATTGTTGAATTACACTGGAAAGTAAAGTTTCACACACTAAAACATCTGTTTTGTGGATTACAGCCTATCTTATCGAAACAGCATTTTGAGACAGTAATCCATAGAGGTGGGAATCACCATACATCCCACGATACGATATTATCGCAATTTTTTAAAATATTTTGCAATATTCAGATTCTGTACATAAAGGTAAACTTTATCAATATTCATTTTCTCTAATATCAAAGTCTCACACTCAGTCTTTCTCTCATTTCAGTTTGATTGTTGACAAACTGAACGGTTTGTATTACAGTCTAGTCCAACTTAACTGAATCAACCATCTGGTACAATTATAGCTATTCTGAACTATGCAGTTTATGAAAACTATGCAGCCCCTTCAGCAACTGAAGAATTTGAAAGTAAATTAAAACAAAATATAATTTTACATTAAATAAAAAAGTTTTAAACTAAATTAAAATAAAACATGTCTTAAATTAAAATAAGTAAACTGTCATGTTTATTACTGCCAAAAAAAAGTTAAACACATTTGGACAGTGAAGGAATGTCAGGATTCTTGCTCAGAAAAAGGATCAACATGCTCTGAAGTCAGAGCACAAAAACCTTTTTGTAACAAAATATCGATTTCTGCTGTCCCTGTATCCATACATGATTAGAAACAAAATATCACGATGCTACACAGTATCCATTTTTTTCCCCACCCCTAGTGATCCATGCCTTTGTTACTTCTAGGCTGGATTATTGTAACGCACTTTATTTTGGGGTTAGTGATGCGTCCATTAGGCGCCTGCAGGTTGTGCAAAATGCTGCAGCACAATAACTGGAACAAAAAAGTCTGAGCACATTACCCCAATTTTAATTTCACTCCACTGGCTACCTGTACATTTTAGGATTGTTTTTAAAATTCTCTTATTTGCTTTTAAATCTCTTAATGGCCTTAAGGTACCGAAAACTAAGTATAAATTTAAAGGTGATCGTGCTTTTGCTGTAGTTGCTCCAAAGTTGTGAAATGATCGAACCTTGCATGTCAGACAGGCCTCTTCTCTTTCTGAATTTAAAAGTCTTCTTAAAACATATTTATCCGCTGAAGCCTTTGGCATCGATTAGAGGGGTTGACCCAATTTGTTTTAACATGTTTCAATTTATTTTAGTTTTTTTAGTTATTTATTTTTATCTTATCTCATTTTAATTTTCTTTACTTATGCTATTAGCATGTACAGCACTTTGTGAACTCTGGTTTTATGTTAAAGTGCTTTATAAATAAAGGTGGTATGGTACAGCACATAGTGAGTAACCCTAAAAGTCCAAAAAGACTGATAAGGCTGAAGACCTTCATGATGACTCAATGATGAGCACTTCAGTTTATTTTACTAATGTCACACTGTTACCTACCCTAATATAAAGTTAAGCTTATTAATGATTGTATTTGTAAGAAAAAGAGCAACATAATGCAAAGAGCCATAATATCCTTCACATTCAACTGTCCTATATTTGCTTAATAGTCCGATTCAAGTGTTCTCTTGAGGCCAGTTTATTATATAACATTTCTAACTATGTAGCAAGTGTTCACTGTAAATGTTCAGTCAGTCAGAAAAATAGGAGAGTAGCTCATAATCATTCTGTGACAGCTTTGTAAGTAACAGTATAGATATGAGTACCATTCACCACAGAAAGTGTTGAGTCGGGCACACTGTTAATTAACAAATTTCTCGCATGGGCAGCTTCCCTAAACGCTGCATTTTTATACCGAGTCAATGCAGACTCTTGACAGGAAGCTGAGGGCAATGGTTTATAATCGAAACATTCACAGTATCTTCGTGTGAAATTGCAGTTGGAGAAGGTTGCGGCTGAATGGCCCATTTTGCACCCTAGACTAAGTGCTATTAAAGGCTTTTTAAGTGACACTATTCACTCCAAATACCTGTTTCAAATAAAGACTAATGCTCACCCTGCAGAGGATTTTGTTAGTATTTGTGGCATTTCTTCTCGTTATTTTTAACAAGAGCATGTGCTGTTGTGTGCATTTTCTTAAGCAATAGCCATGCCAGTGCCTGAAATGTGAACTATATTATTCACACTTATGATAGGGTGTGTCAGTAAATATTTTCTGAGATTCACTTTTGCATAATACTGGATGGCCGTTCATTTGAGTCTGTGAAAAAGACATTTAGCAGAGAGGTTTTCGTGGGCAAAACAAGCAAAACTCAAATCTCCACTCCACAAATATAGTCAGTGTTTATTTAGGACTAAAAGGATAAGTGACACTGAAAGTGACTTATGAAACACAACCCAAAGACCCATGCCAGGCACATAGTCTTGAGTTGTTTTGAGTCTTGGGTGATCAGTGGAAGTAGAAAAGACTTGTGTGCCCGACAGCATGGCTACCTGTACTCAAACAATCCATGCATTTTCTGCCATTGATCCAGATTTGGATCACAGGGCAGCAGTCGCTCAGACCTCCCTATCCTGGGCCACCTCCTCTGGCTCATCGAGGCTTTCCAAGGTCAGCTGAGAGGGATAATCTCTGCAGTGTGGGCCTAGTAGCACGTGGTTAAAATGTCTTACCTAGGAGGTGTCCACAAGACACCCTAGTCAGTTTACCGAACCACCTCATGTGGTTCCTGCAGGAGTGCAGCTGTGGCACGAATACGTCTGTCAGTAACTAGAGTTAGTACTTCACACTTTTCTGAATGAGCATCAGTGTATTAAAGTGGGAGATGCTGATTCTCATCGCAGTTGCTTTAGTCTCAGCTGCAAACCACCTTAATTTATGCAGGTGGTCACTGCCTGATAAGGCAGAAGAATGACATCATCTGCAAAGAGAAGAAATGTGATCCTGAGGCCGCCAATGCAGAAACCTTTTGCCAACAGGCTCCACCTAGAAATTCTATACATAAAAGTTAAGAACTGATTGTGACCTACACCTGTTTTCGCACCTTGGCTCGTGTGATTAGGTAGAGGATCATTAGGGGGCACACTCCCACAAGGCTTAAATCTCGGACTCTTCACCATTTGAACCTAGAACTGAAGAAGCTTGTTGAATGAGAGGTGAAACGTCTTCAAGCAACTTAAAGAAGTCCAGACGCTTTCCTTACACCTCTTGCCCTTCCTGAGTTACCTGATTGTTTGCCAGAATTCCCTCTAGGATGACCGATCTTGCTCCAAGGCCTCACCAAACTACTCCCACATCCCAGTTTTCTCTTCAGCTACTTCTATATTCAAATTCCACTTAGCCTGTCGGTAACTGTCAGCTGCCGCAAGCCACCACAGCTCACTTGGACTCCATCTTCAGCTTGATGGCTCCCTTCACCTCTGCTGCCCACCATTTGGTTAAGGGACCAACCACCTAGTGGCTGCTGCTCCTTACAGCAGTGTCAACAATGGACGTGTGGACCAACCTCCCTTGGAGAAGAGCTTTTGCAATTAGTATGCCTAAAAACAGAGAAGATGAGCGGAAAGTTATGCATTTGAGACAGTGAAGTCAGCAAATGTTTTTAAATGTTTGCTTATAAGTGACTGAAGTTATTAAACTAATATCAATTAATTTGCTTTAATCACCTAATATATTAATGGACTAATTATTACAGTTCTACAAGCCAGGTGCTTGACATTTAACGACCGACTAAATTGACAGACCTGGATTTTATTTCTGCGAAGCATTTCATCCCTTCGAGCTTCAGCAGTTTGCCTTTTATTTAAAAAAATATAGTAGTAGAAAACAGTGCATATGATGACATTTTTTAATAGCAGTGTTACATCCTTCCTACTGTGCTGCTAGTCCTAAAAGCGCAATTGCATCATGCTTCACATAAAACTTGTTAAACTTTAATGTGTAAAATGAGATGAGGCGCATAAACAGGAAAAAAACTCATCTTAATTAGTCATTCGATGATTACAGAAATCTTAAAATCTAATTTTCCTAAGTCTTGCAAACAAGCCTGCCTAAAGGGTAGGATTATATATGATTATTAGGATTATATATGGTAACTTTTTCCACATATACTAATTATCAGAGCTGATCAGTTCGTTTTTCGTTGTCTTTAAAGGCGAAGGCTGCCTCATACACCACCACAGAGGCACTGTGAAAGAAAGAGTGGGTAATTGCAGGAGTATGGCCTTTTTTTCTGTATGTAGAGTATGACACCCTAAATATTACAGGTGGGAATCACCATACATCCCATGATACGATATTATCACAATACTTAACGCACGATACGATATTATGGCAATTTTTT